TCCACAAGTCTAAAAAAATTTGAAACCTACCACTGTGTCAGTGCCTCACCAGCCATAAACCTCACCGCACATCACTGGTGAATGACCACATCCAAACACCTCCTTTGCTATACTGTTCTGTCCATACTGCTTAGCATGCAACTTTCTAATAACTGTGATTGATAGTTTCCTCAGCTGAAATTTCAGCTCTGCCGAATGGACAACACTCTGGTTACTCCATGTATTGCATTTTTTTAAACCACAGAAACAACTTTAAGGTCTGAGTATTTCTTGCTGCCAGCTAGTTGCATCCAAATAGTAGCCACTATGCATCTGCTGAAGAGCTGAAGTTTGAGAAAGGGAGATTAATTGTGAAAGTCTTAGCAGGAGCTGTAAACCCTAAAAACATCAGTTCAGGTCTGAGGAATTGGGATGAGGTTTCCCTAAGAAGGCAAGCTATACAAACATGATAGCAAAACGTTTGGGCTCAGCATGTCAAACATTCAGAAAATTCCAGCTTGACTCTGCTGGCGTGTCACCCAGTACCCCTGAACAAAAGAGAAACAATTCTCTATCTCCCCTCACCTCCATCTAGGCCACCTTGAAAAATGGTACTTGGCAGTGCTGAAATTGTACCTGAAGAGGGGCTCAAGCCTCAATTTCAGCACTAGTGCCACAGCTGAACCCCCTGCCCCAAAAAATCACCTTATACTGTTCCCAAGGGAAGTGATTCTTGGGGAATGGCATGATTGTCCACAGCCCAGTGCTCTCAAGGATCTGCCATGTACTGCTTATCTTTAGACCTTGTCCTTTTCTGTTGACATGCCTCTCTGGTCTACCCTAGGTTGCTATTGGTGGCATGAGACCTTTATTGAAGTGGCTTCAGAGAATTTTCTTCTCTGACCTCTTCAGCCTCTGGAAATGAGGCAAAAGTATGCACCATTCTTGCATAATTTTTGGAGGCTCTCAAGATTGCTCCAGAGCAGATCCATTCTCTTGAGGTATCTACAGCCTCAGAAAATCACATAACTATAGACATGCTTTTGAGAATGGTATTGTTGGGTGTTAGTGAACACTGGTATGTCACCCAAAATGTTATTGCATGGTATCTTTGACATGTTTGTTGTAGGTTCATCATCACTACTATAGGAATCAACAAATGAATCCTTCTAATTCTACATTTGTTAAGCCTGGCACATGCAGCACACACAGGGTCAATTCCAAAATCTACAGATGAACCAGTTGTCCAATCTATATAAAAAAGAATATAAAAGTGCCAGCTCTCCCCTGCAGCCAAAATAGGCCTGAAAATCAGATTGACGAGATTGTCCCAAGGGAATTCAGCCACAAAATTGTCAGCACCAAAGTGACACTCTGATGCACAACAAAATATCACTTCCAGTGTGTAGCACTTTAAGCTGCCCTTGCACTATCTCAACTGTGGTAGAGTTTGAGATATATGTGGTTGCATGCTCAGGAAATGTTTAAAAGGTCATTCCTGTGTCTGGGCAAAAGGACTGTGTAGGTTTCTCAAAAAGATAGTCAGGCAAAAGCTGAAGCTCCCCTCACTTCACCACACTGCCACCCCATGGCATCTATCACTTTTAGTCAGTCAGAACCTGAAACAAATTTTAACAAATACAGTAGTTAAACCTGCTGACCTGGTCATCTATCAACTCCCCCCTCCCCTCTGTCCAGTGCCAGTACATAATAAGGAAGAATAACTGTAGGATGTTTTCCAGCTGCCAGGTGTAATCTAGTGGGAGAAGAAGAACAAAGCTAGGGGAACCGATCAATTCACATTTAAGTTATGAATTTAGTCTTTGAACATGAAATGTTATTTCCACATTTGAAATTTAAATTAAACACATTAATTTAGAATATGTTATCTCTATGGTATAGAAATATACATTGAATATCTGTGAAATCACCTTAAACTATAATATATAGCCCAACTTTTGCATTGATTTCTTATGGAAGCAAGATTCTAGATTTAACTGTCTAGTTTTCCTCCAACTGAGGTCCATTCCTGGTGATATTATGGATGCATCCACCTGGTTCACTGAGCTAACAATATTTGAAGTAAATAGCATTTTATATCAATAAGAATTTTAATGTAATTTTAATTTTAATTAATTAATTTAAGTTAAGTTAATTTTACTTATTTTACTTACTTAAATTAATTAATTA